ACTATACAATAATATTTACAATAATAAGAAATAACAATAAAAATAAAATAACAAATTAATAATAATAATAATAATATAATAATAATAATAATAATATCGCACTTAAACAAGACTTAAGTCCTGGAACCTCGTTCGCTAGAAAATTAAAAAAATAATAAAATAATATTTACAATAATAATAAATGACAATAAAAATATAATAATAAAATAATAATAATAATAATAATAATAATAATAATAATAATAATAATAATAATAATAATAATAATATCGCTCTTAAACAATACTCAGATCATGGAACCCAGTTGTCTAGAAAATTGAAATACAATACAATAATAATTACAATAATAATAAATTAAAAACAAAATATAATAATAATAATAGTAATAAAAATTATTATTAATAATAATAATAGCGCACTTAAACAAGACTTAAGTCCAGGAACCCCGTTGCCTAGAAAAGTAATATAATAAAACAATAATAATCACAAACATAAAAATTACAAAAAAATATAATAATAGTAATAATAATAATAATGCAATGCTAAGCCATTTTATATGGCGCACATAATCTAGTCACAATTGTAACCTAAAGCTACCCATTTGGGAGGTGCTGATTGAACCTCAAGAATAGTTTTTTTTTAATTTCACCCCATGGCATGGCCCTCGTGACAAGAGGATTAGTAGTGGTAGTAGTAGTAGTAGTAGTAGTAGTAGTAGTAGTAGTAGTAGTAGTAGTAGTAGTAGTAGTAGTAGTAGTAGTAGTAGTAGTAGTAGTAGTAGTAGTAGTAGTAGTAGTAGTAGTAGTAGTAGTAGTAGGAGGAGGAGGAGTGGTAGTGGAGGTGGTAGTAGTGGTGGTAATAGAAGTAGTAGTAGTAGTAGTAGAAGTAGTAGTAGTAGTAGTAGTAGTAGTAGTAGTAGTAGTAGTAGTAGTAGTAGTAGTAGTAGTAGTAGTAGTAGTAGTAGTAGTAATAGTAGTAGTAGTAATAGTAGTAGTAGTAGTTGTTGTAGTAGTAGTAGGAGGAGGAGTGGTAGTGGAGGTGGTAGTAGTGGTGGTAATAGAAGTAGTAGTAGTAGTAGTAGTAGTAGAAGTAGTAGTAGTAGTAGTAGTAGTATTAGTAGTAGTAGTAGTAGTAGTAGTAGTAGTAGTAGTAGTAGTAGTAGTAGTAGTAGTAGTAGTAGTAGTAGAAGTAGTAGAAGTAGTAGTAGAAGTAGTAGTAGTAGTAGTAGTAGTAGTAGTAGTAGTAGTAGTAGTAGTAGTAGTAGTAGTAGTAGTAGTAGTAGTAGAAGTAGTAGTTGGAGCAGTAGTAGTAGTAGTAGCAGTAGTGGCAGCAGCAGCGGCAACGGCAGCAGCAGTAGAAGATCCTATCCAACCTGCAAGTGATGTAGCAGCAGACCGCCTTGCGGTGGTTGCAACAGCGGTATAGAGAGCCGATCATTCAGTGGCAAAGGCAAACTACTAAACGTAACATTGCTTAGTATAATCACAAACACCCACACACAACAACGACAAAATTCTGGGGCTGCTTTTAAACTGTAAACTGCAATAAGTTATTGTGAAATTGCACATACGTGCTGAATGGCAAATAAATTAAAGAATTTACTTGAAATGCGTAAAACGTTTAAAATTAACTTTAAATTAAAAATCATTATATGCATAGTTAAAGGAGGCATCTTAGCCTTTACACAATTATTGTGTGTGCTTCGCCCATCCCACCCCCTCCCCCATTTTTTAGGGGAAAGCAGGAGGTACTCAAGGACCTGAGCTTCCATCCTCGACTCAATAACTTGTCTATAGCATTGGCGGTGGGTTTGGGGAGGTGGGGTTAAGAAGGTAACACCATCAGTTAAATTTTTATTTTACTGGGGCAAAAAGAATGGGTGAAAGGGGAAGGGTTTACTGGTCTTAGGCCCCATTACCTTCCCAATCTTGTTGCCTCTAGGTGCTGAGAAAGGCGTGGTTCGGAGTAGGGGCTGTCAAGCCCTCTTCCCCACCCCCCCCCCCCCCCCACCCCATAATTTTTTTGCCTTGTAATGTGTAGGGTTGGTGCTCCTCCTTCCCCGCCCCTTTTTTTTTCCTCGGCGCCGCGCCTGATATTAGGTGAGAGAACGCTGTGTAAATAGTGAGAAAACGGAATCCGTAGTGATAGCATGTGTACATAGTGAGAGAACGGAATCCGTAGTGATAGCATGTGTACACAGAGAATGTGGGTCGAGAGTACAAGAACAGGTACATTCCAAAAGCCACTAAGTACTGTTTGTTATAAAACACAGAATGACTTGTCGATGCCAGTTTTTCCCTGCTTTTGATCTAAATATACCTGGGCTATACAAATGGCTGTCCTCTGGTCGAATCTGGTCAGCAGAGAGTTAACAAGTGGCCACGGATCATTGCCAGTTATATTGTATTAACGGTCTTTATATAGGCTGCCCCAAAAGTCATGCCCCAAAAACTTCAACAAATATCTCGAAAACTCCACCACAAATCAACAGGAATTTGTGCAGATGGTTTTAGGTTTCCCAGGTCCTTGTCATTTCATAATTTACAATTGCAAAGTTGCTGCTGTTTTCTTACGGTGGTGAATTTCTGTGATCTTTGTCGGACTTTTTTTTTTTAAATATATATACAATTACTGAAAAAGTCAAGGTCTCTTTGCCACGCCTTTAGGACCATAGGGCTGGACCTATATTTTTATAGACTGATCGGCACAAGATGGGTGATGTGCTCAGCATCACGCCAACCACCTTTTCTTCCCGGGATTGCATCCAGGACCCATTCAAGGCCGGGTCGACCTGGGAGTCAATGTCATTTTTTGAAAAAGCCAGGCAGCGAACCCACGACCTTCTGAGCCGCACGTAAACATCTAGCCGCTACGCCAGTTTTTTTTTTTTTTTTTTTTAAATACCATAAATATGGCAAAATGAAACAAGATGTTTGTTTATATCATATTTTTTCCCCTGCAAGAACATGATTATTAGCAGGTCACATACGCACATTTCTACAACAACACCGAACTGTTAAAGAGTTCTTAGATTTTTAAAGTTAGTCACGACTTTTGCAACGGACTATACGATGAGGCTTAGGACCTATAGACCGCGACTATACCCACAGTCAAAGTTTTGGTCCGGGGAAAACTTAGTTGAATAGATGAGATGGCAGATTTTTTCCACTGGTACAACCCACAAAAACTAGGTTAGAGGTCAAAGTCGCGGGGTCACCTGATATAAAGTACCAGAAATCTAGAAGCTCATAAAGCTTCCAACTGAACCAGATAAGCATTTTTATTATACATCGGCACCAACAGAAGAACTTGAAGTCGTTTATCTAGTAAGTATAGAGAGATATGTGTATAGTCTTATATTTTACTTCACATTATAGCGTATGCTGTTTGTATGGTTATGGCGTGTATCAGTCTTTTTAAACAAGTGTTATGTTTTGCTAGTCGGCTTTGTGGCTAAGTCGATGCGAACGCTTCGTAATGCCGGGGTGCCGGGTTCGATCCCAGCTGCGGGCCATGCGCCGTGCGTTAGATTCTACAGTGGTATCACGAAGCCGACCGTCCAGAGCAATGACAAACTATAAGACGTAAATTTGCCTAGAGGATCAACACAACAGCCAGGAGCTGCTGGCGTTGGTTCTGTATGTTCTGCTATCATGAGGTATGGGAGCTGCGTGGTCTCGTGGTCTCGTGGCATGTCCCCCATGCCAGTGTAGGTCATTTGTAGATATCCTCGTTAAGTATGTCTATACATTTAATATTATTTCAAATATTATATTCATTTGCCGTTCAGGGCATCAATAAAAATAACAACAATTATTATTATTTGTGCGTCCTAACACAAGGATTAACTCTCTGCGGCCACCGGCTCCTAGAAAATTATAAAGCTTCTGGGCTTCCACCCACCAACCAACCCACATGCAGTGATGGGTACTCAGTGAAGACAACGGGGAAGAGTTTGGTATCTGATTCCTACTGGTTTTCCGCCATTTTCGTTTTCTGCTGGAGCCAACGTCTCCAGTTTATTTCGTACCAAAATGTGTTTTCTAGTTTGTTAATTCCCTGGTCTTAAACAGCATCATTATCAACAAAAACACAACCAGCAACAACAACGATAGCAACACTACCACCACCAATAACAACAACGCCGCTGCCACAACCACCCACAACAACAACAACAATACCATCATTTTCTTCTTCTTCTTTTCTTCTTCTTCTTCTTCTTCTTCTTCTTCTTCTTCTTCTTCTTCTTCTTCTTCTTCTTCTTCTTCTTCTTCTTCTTCTTCTTCTTCTTCTTTTTCTTTTTCTTCTTCTTCTTCTTCTTCTTCTTTTTCTTCTTCTTCTTCTTCTTTATTCACCCTTAAAAGGTTATCAACAAAACACCACCAACAACAACAACGATAGCAACACCACTACCACCACCACCACGACCACCACCATCACCAACAACAACACCAACACCATCATTCTCTTCTTCTTCTTTTTCATGATCTTTTTCTTCTTCTTCTTCTTCTTCTTCTTCTTCTTCTTCTTCTTCTTCTTCTTCTTCTTCTTCTTCTTCTTCTTCTTCTTCTTCTTCCTTTTTTGTTCACTCTTAAAAGGGCAGTTGACACATTAGGCTGTGGTTCACAGCCAGCCTACATTATCCGCGTCTAAGGCCCATCACATAATATTTCATCAGACCATCAATGAGTTCCCTTTTGAGACATGCCTGTTAAGGGACAATGGGCCTTGTGTGTCCCCCACCACACCCCACTCAAATAGGGTCTCTGGAACCAGCGACTTGGCAAGGTCAGGAAGTACCCGGTGAGGTACATCCACCCCCCCCCCTTCCCCCATCATTTTATTCTAAAACATGTATTTTGCAATTTTGTCAACCCACCTCTGCCCTCAGTGATGACACCCGGGGCGGCCCTCGCCCCTCCCCCTCCTACGCCCCTGTTTGAAACTCCCACAGGGACTTAATCAATCATATATTTTTTTTTTCTCTTCAGGACTCAACAATGTGCACACTAACCCTGGCAGCCGTGGTAACACTGGTGTTTGCGGTAATACCATCTGAGATTACATCCAAGACTGTGGTGTTTTACCCGCCTCCAGCTACCAGCTACATTGTCTACCACACCAACGTAGCCGGGGCCCTAGCCAGGCGCGGTCACGAGGTGTGGATCTGCATACCAGACTACCTTCTGCAGAGAAATTTAGTCAAGGATAACTCTGTCAAAATTCTAGCATACGGGAAACAGCTGGGAGACGTTGAGAAACAGATATATGAAAAGACAAGGATAATGGATAAATTCTGGGCAAAAGAGCCGACGTTCGGAAAGGAGACTTTATACAGCACAGGTGCAGAATTAATAAAAATCGCTGATGTTGTTCTTTCTGATCAAGTATTTGTGGATAAGGTGAGACAACTGAATCCAGATTTAATTGTGCTAGAGTCAGTGCCGTTCAATCTGAACATGATTGTGCTCCCGTATATGTTGGATATTCCTTTCGCTTTCATTGGAACTATTCACGATGTGGTAATTTCTAAAGTGCCATTCAGTCCTGCTGTGACACCGTTCCCTATCAATACTTCAACCGACAGAATGACGTTCGTTCAGAGACTGCAAAATACCATTTTATATCTACTGCGAATCAATTTTGATCTTTTCTACGACAGCGGTCTGATTGCTAAGTTTGCTCCACACAAACCTTACATGTCCATTAACGATCTGGCCACAAGTGCTGAGGTTTTCATAGCTGAAATTGACCATATACTGGACTATCCGCGAACAACTTTGCCAAACACAAAACTGGTAGGAGGATCTTCTGCTTCAGCTGCGAAACAATTAGAAGGGGAGTTCAAGAAATTTGTAGATACGGCAAAAACTGGCATTATCGTCGTGTCTTTTGGTGGGTCTATACTCGATTTACCACCGAACATAGTATCAAAATTTATCTCCGCTTTCAGTAAACTAGACCTTGGAGTGGTGTGGAAAGTAAACATTACCTCACCAGACCCCAAGCAAATTCTGACATCCAAGTGGATACCACAAAACGATCTTCTTGGACACGAGAAAACCAAACTGTTTGTTTCCCATTGTGGAAAGAATGGACAGTACGAAGCCCTCTACCACGGAGTGCCCATTCTCTGCCTGCCCGTCTACGGAGATCAAAGTTATAACTCGGAAAGAATTAAAGTTAAACAGTATGGTCTTCGTGCCGACATGCGAGAAGCTAGCGCCGACGAGCTGGCAGCCATGATGAAAGAAATAATTGACAATGGAACATACACTGAAAACATAAAAAAGGCTTCCGAACTTTACCGAGAGTTGTACAAAGTCCCAAAAGAGGAAGCTGCATACTGGCTGGATCACGTGATGAAGTATGGCGGGGAATATATGAGATCACCAGGGCAGCAGATGCCTTGGTATCAACTTCTTGTGTTAGATGTAATTGCCTTTCTCGTCGCCGTTATTGTTGTCATCCTCCTTGTGATCTATTTCACTGTCAAAAGATGCTATAATTTATGCAGAAATAAGCCACGTAAGATCAAGTCAAAACGGCAATAAATGAGCTGCTGTGACAACACTTATTACTATTCTCAAAGTAGCTACAAGTTAGCGTATTTTTTTTTTCCCAGGGAGTCGCAAGTTAACTGCCAAGATTGATTGGCTGTTGCGTAGTTTTACTGGGCACTTTTACGTTAAATAATATTACGAGTATATGGTGTAACCTCAGCAAGCAGCTTATTTCTTGGAGTCGAGAGAAACGCATGGGGTGTCATTTGCTATCGCCCCCCCCCCCTTTTTTTCCTTAAAAAATTAAAAAAATTATGTTATTGTATCATTATTTTACTTCTTATATTTAGTCGAAACCTACTAAGAAAATCTGGCCTCTCATTCAGTCACTTCATTGTATATTTGGCTTCTTCCAAAGCAAATTATACCTGATTGCTTCAAAGTAATCACCTCCCTCTCCTCCATAATGATTTCATGACAAGCCTTCTGGTACTGAAACAGCCACGGTGACAATCCTGAGAACATGCATCTTTAATGTGGCAACATACGCCTGGGGTTTCTGTAATTACCACTTTTGCAGTATAAGCGAAGGTGGAGGAGGGAGGGTCAGTCTGTGAGCCTGAGGATTCAGGGTCGCATGACTAGTGCTGTCGCCACGGACTGTGCAGGTTAGGATTCTATTTTTGCAGGAGACAGAAAAACATTCTCAACCTTATCGAGGATTGGAACGTCGATCTCCCTAAAGCACTAGAAATGAAAACTCGGGATTTTATATCCTAATGCTGGAAGAATATTCTCAGAGTATCATGGAACATGAAGAGGAAGACAGCTGTAACTCTTCAGGATCTCGACAGTGGTGGACTAGCCCATAGACAGCATCGTTTCTAGGAAACTGAGATACAGTAATTTTCTCAGCAATTCGATGATTTTGTGTATTCGTGGGGTTTTGTTGATTTGTGTAATTGTGCCGATAAAGGCTCTGTAGTCGCAACATACCCTTTTTGTTTGTATTTCTTATAATGTGAAGCTCGCTGATTTACTTTTTGTTCGGTTTATATATTTTCAAAAACTAAGATACAGTATGGTTTCTCGGGGACTCAGATTACTTCGATCATATTAACCGTCACATTGGTTTCTTCTTCCTCTTCTTCTTCGCGTTCACAATCTGTTAACTCTCGCAGAAAGTTCGGGTTTTTCATCCACTTCTGGACTGCAGTCCTGTTCCAGAACCTGGGTGTTGCATGTGCATCCGTTTTACAGATCTGACTCATGTGTATGCAGACTGCTAGTTCCTTGCCTCTCAGCCAGATGCACTCCTGCTTTGAAGGAAGCTCCCAGTTAGTCGACTCTTACAACACGCTTTTGTGGCAGGCAGTGGGCCTATTCTTGTTTTCCATATAACAGGGCCCCGGAACCCATACAGGAACACGATGGTTTGAAGAAAACGGTAACAGAATAAGTCAAGTAATAAACTGTTCATCGCATCTGGCCGTCAGAGGTGCAGCGAGCTGATCAAACAACAACGACTGGTGACCCAACGACACGCAGTGTTACGGGATGATGATGATGATGATGATGATGATGTTGATGATGTTGATGATGATGATTATGTTGATGTTGTTGTTGATGATGATGTTGATGATGATGGTGCTGATGATGATCATAATTATGATGCGAGTTATTATTAAAGCAATCACAGTAAAGACTCCTTAACACAAATTCCAAAGCGTTTCAAATTCGAGTTCGCGTTGAAAACAGTTCGTACTTAGCGTGGACTAATAGCAATGAATAAAATAGCCCTCCTGTAACCAAAGTTTTGTTCATGTTAACCTTAGGCGCTTTTGTGTTTACGATGTTTTGCTTTGAACATTAAAATATTTATGTCATTATTTGAATGTTGGTACTACATAATCATTTTAAATAACTTATTTATTACTATTTTCTGACATTATATTTTGGTTGTTAATAAATGATGTGAGGTAGGAGTCGACTTAAAAGTCAAGTTTTGCCTTTGGATAACTATTCGCATTTTTACCCGCAGAAGTTTTATCCAGGGGGTCTGCGTGGTCTCGAAGCATGGTGTTCGCCTCGAGTGCTAGACGTTCCGAGTTCAATCCCCATTAAGGGCTAGGATTTTTTCACTTGGACTGGACTTCTAGTAATTCCACCTCGTCTCTGGGTAGTGAGATCGCACGCACGTATGCATTGTTACGCAAGTAAAAAAATCTCTTGACAGTTGGAAATCGAAAAAAGTAGCCATTTTGAGTTTAAGATCTACCCAAAGCATTTCAGGATCCCTCGCCTGTGCACTGTGCTGAGCTTTTTCGGACTCAGACTTGTGTTAGAAGAAGAACGGAGCACTTATGGGTTACTACCCGTGTGCCAGGATGTTGATCCGTTGTTCAAAACTTAAAAACCACAAACCTTGCGTTTTTACCCAGACTGCTTTTTTCTAGCGCTACGTTGTACCGGAACAGTTTTAAGGCATAATTGTTTTCGGCACATCTGTAAAAGACATATTGTGGGGAGAACCGATACTTCTTTTTGTAGGCACTTTTCGATCAGTATCGGCACCTCCCCGTGTAGGTTCCGGGGCATTGTGGTGAAAACAAAAATGCACCCACTGCCTTCCCATGACCGTCTCTGAAGACGGTTATGATCTCCCAAACAAGCATATCGTAGGAGTCGACTAACTGGGGACTTCTTTCGCAGTCGGAGTGCATCTGCTTGAGCGGCAAGGAACAACCAGCTGCACACAAATAAGCCAGTAAAACAGACGCACGCGTTACTATTAATCTCGTCATCCCTGTGAGGAATGCAGTTTTTCGTTATTTGAAGCCCTACTCTGGGGCTGCAATATAGCCCGGCCATAAATATGGTTTAATGTCTGAACGCGGTTTCTGTGACCTTTCCACGGGTGATCCTCATCCACATGGTGGCACTTCATGTCATCGAGTGTTTATCGATTGTGTGATGTCCTGGAGGGGTAAAAGTAGATAGATAGACGCACACTCAAAACTCAGGCCCTGGCGCAAAGCCAAAATCCAAATGGGTGAACAGCCAGGACTTTCCGCCGGCGCTTAGATCAGGTGAACAAACAATAAGAAGAAGAAGTACCAGTATCTTTTTTTTCTTAATTTTTTTTTTTAACAACAACAAAATCCACAACACACACACACCCACACATACACACATACACACCCACACACATACATAAACACACACACATACACACCCACACACACATGCACAGACTGCTCTATATTGCCCCAAAGCAGCTTCAGAGTTCGCCCTTATAAGGAAGGTTAGTACGTTACGGCGTGGCTTACAGCTAGACTGGGATATATGCGATGTTCAGTTCAACACATCGGATATCAATAAATCTTTAATTTGACTCTTCTTACGACGTGCTTGTGACAGTGACTCCAAAACTGTACCGAAGAAAATGAGGCCAGGGAACGCTCAAGGAGAGCCTTAGAACTCAATGACATTTGTAATGGCTGCTTCAAGTGTCATTGTATCTGTGGTGTATAGAGATTGTGGCGTACCGAGATTGTGGTGCACGGAAATTGTTGTGTACAGAGATTGTGATGTAGAGAGATTGTAATGTAGAGAGATTGTGATGTACAGAGATTGTGATGTAGAGAAAGTGTGATGTGGAGAGACTGTAGTGTACAGAGACCGTGGTGTACAGAGATTGTGGTGCACGTAGATCGTCGTGTACACAGTCTATGATGTAGAGAGATTGTGATGTAAAGAGATTGTGATGTACAGAGATTGTGATGTGGATTGACTATAGTGTACAGATATTGTTGCGTACAGAGATTGTGGTGCAGGGAGATCGTCATGTACAGAGACTGTGATGTAGAGAGATTGTGGTGTAGAGACTATTGTATACAGAGATTGTGGCGTACAAAGATTGTGATGTAGAGAGACTGTGATATACAGAGACTGTGGTGGGCAGAGATTCTGCTGCAAAGAGATTGTGCAGTAAAGAGACTGCAAGAGGTTGTGCAGTAGAGAAAGTGCGGTGTAAAAAGACATTGCTGTAGAAAGATTGTGCTACAGATAGACTGTGCAACAAAAAGTACAGTGTAGACAGATTTTTGTGTAGACAGACTACGGTCTGGAGAGCTTGTGTTGTGGAAAAGTACAACTAATCTCCTTTATATCTTCTTCCTCTCTATCTCTCCCTCCCTTCTTCTATCACCTCCTTCTCCCCCTCGCTCGTTGCCCATCTCATCTTCTCTCTCTTTATCTCTGTCTATCTATCTCCCCATTGGTAGCTGGAGAATACGGCGCTAAAAACATACTTTTAAAAACCAATCGGGCCCTCGACGGGTGATATTGTCCACGTCACGACGACTGCTGATCCCATTTACCTCACAGAACATTTCCAGATATCCATACCAGGCTGGTTAGACTCGGAGGACAAGAAATAAATTTTAAAAAATTTCGCCTTGATAGGGATTCAAATTCAAGACCAATCGACACTCAATGGTGGATGTGGTCAACGTCACGCCTTCCGCTTTTATTTCCCAACACATTTCCTGGTATCCATTTTAGACTGGGTCAACCTGGAAGCCAAATTAGATTTTGAAAAACAAAAACAAAAACATTTCGCAATGAAGATTGGAATCCAAGACTTTGGGACCGGTAGGCGAGCGCCTAGCCGCTAAACCAGGGCAGCTCCCAACAAGGAATAGAGTCTATTAACACAACTGAAGAGTGGTGGATGGCAGTGAGATGGGGGCTGTGAGGGGGAAGGGGTTCCTCCAAGACTAAGCGATAAAACCTTTCGCCTCGTGTTCCGAAGTTTGTGGGTTCATTTATCATGCGCGAGGAATGTTTAGAGAGATCTTCTGGGATCATCACTGGTGTTCAAATGTTCGTATTTTGTGCCACCCTCACGGCAGATGGTCCATACTGTGGAAGGAGACCGAGTTATTTGGGATGAAACCCACTGAAATGAAGTCAATCATCTCACTTAAAACGATAGATAGATATATATACATGCACATATCACACACATCACATTTCACACACACACA